TTGGATGGGCTCTACAATCTTAGCCTCAACTTCTTTTACTTCATCTTCTAAGAGCAATACCAGATCTTATGTATGCATAATCAATCACTTAGTTTTCACATTTTGTGAAAAGAAAAAGCCACATTTTTGCTCAATCTATGCAAGCATGGCTAACTCTTTTGATTTTGCGTAAAAAAATCTAGTGCTTTCAATTTTTTTCTCACCCTAAATATTTTTTATTTAAAACCAAACTATTCAAACTTTCGTAAATTTTTTTTTTTTTGCAACATATGTTTCACTACTTAACCTCCAAGGTTACTTGAAGTCATATCATTAAGAACTAAGAACTAAAGCAGAAGAAAAAACATAGTTATACGACTGCGAATCAAGAAAACATTTTGGATGCGTTAGTATAAATTTCACGGCAAGGCCGAAAAACAGAAAGTTGTACACTTTGACCAGTGACGTTGAAATATTATCCATACCTTCAAATTTCGTCAAGATGAAACTAGTTGGATCTTTTGGCCCCGTACAAACCGCTACACAATAATACAAGTCGCTAAAGAAATTATTCGGTTTTTGTTCTGAGAAGAATCTTGCTCTCAATGAGAGAATAAATGGTGGAATGGTTCTCTTCCCGAATGGGAAATAGTATGGATGAGATCTCTCCCAAAGGGAGTAAATTACATGATTTGACTATTTGAGAATCCAGAAAATTGTATTCTTCTCGCCGAAGTAAAGAGATTTGGGCCGTAGGCCACTTCATTAAGTACCGCAAAAGTATTGAGATTTGGGCCATTGGCCACTTCATTAAGCACTTGGGCCAGACCCACTATTATATAATTTTGGAGGAATGTCACGTCAGCTAGGCATAGACACTTGAAGCCGCCGGCGAAGACTTCTCTAACTAAGAGAGAGGGACGTTTGGAAAGAGCAGCGGTGTGAGTGTTGGAGAGATTCACCGCAACCAGAGAATTCATCGATGGAGAACAAGGAGACAAGAACGGAGCAGCAAGAGAGAAACTCTTAGGGGCTTAAGTGGGAAACGGTGATGGAGATGGGGAAGGTGGATCCGGCAGGTGAAGAGAGATCACCAGTGCCAGAGGGATCTTCCCGACGGTAAATGAGACGGTTGAGAGATATGTTGAGATTATCAGCTTGGAGGTAGGAGACGGGAAGACAGCCATCAGAGCAGACTCAATAAGACGTTGTTAGTGAAGGTTGGAGAGAGATCTCACCGGTAAAAAACGAAACGTGCAGCACCGATTAAGGGCCTAAATGGTAACAACTAAATGTGGTTGAATTGCAGAATCTAGCTGAATTTTTGGTGATTTTTTAGAGAATCTAGCGGAATAACTTGAAATGTAAATGGTAACTGCTGAATATGGCTAAATTTGAAATAAATTATTGATTTAATAAACTTACAAAACTTAGTTAAAGAATTTTGTTGTACTTACTTAGTTGAATAAAATGATAAAATATAAATATTTATATCTGATATGTATAATAATTCTATTAAATATAAAACTACAACATAATTTTAAGGAAAGAACTTGCAGCGCATCATAACTATAGGTTAATTCATCTTACAACTGAATAAATTATTCCAAAGTTTTGTTTTAACAAAATTTACGCCAATTGCTTAATTTTGTTTTTCAAAAAAAAAAATTCAAGTTTTTCTTAAATATCCGGCTTATGTATATCATATATGTATCATCGATCTATTTTTAAAAAAATATTTCATATGTAATTTTTATATCCTAAATATCTTTACACAATTCTCATATTCGCTCTTATCCGACTTTTTACCCCAAATAAACATATTTTATATCACTTCGTACTTTAAGAATTGTTAAATTCAGCTAAATTTTTTTGATTTTTCTTGCTAAATTGTTGAATCTAGCTGAATCTGGCATAATTTTATTAATTAGCAAATGGTGTTAGCGGAATTGTTGAATCTAGCTGAATGTTGTAGAAATTTTAAAAGTACGTTACCATTTACAGCCTAAGACGAGAGAGCAACATTATCGCCGGAGAAGTGCGGTGAGAAGGAGCTCATCTTGAACACAAAACGGCTACCTCGAGTTCAGTATCTGGGAGAGAATCGTAGGGTGAACAACCGTTTCTATTCTCCGACCACTTGCTTTAATAGTGGAATAACTTTCGTAAATCTTTCCCATACAATTAATGAACAATGTGAGACTAGGCTGTAAGTCCACATAACTTAACAATCGTTTCATTATTCAACATGTATCTTGTAATTGAAGATCCCAAAACTTAATATAATATCGCATCTTGCATATAAATGCGTTTAGAATGTACAACTACTACAACATATACATATCACAAACATATAGACATTAATTATATAGTCGAGAGAACTTAAAATTTTCATGACATTCCCATATATTTTCAACTTAATTATGTGAGATCAAACCTATATACCATGGTAGATCAACATTCTATTTGGAAAATTGTGTGTTTTGAATATTTACTCCACATCTCAAAGGAATAACTTGAATGTAGTATCCTAAATAAAATTATAATAACAATCATTTTATCTACCATATATAAAGAATGTGAAAGCTATATGTTTGGGTTAATGACAAAAATTAGAAATCTACTCTATCTATTTGGCTATAGATAATTTATATCCACCAATCAGTTTACACAACCTTATTATCGATAAGTAATGTCATTATCTAAAATTTTTGGAATTTTATTGTATGAAGAATTGTATAGAAGTTTCTTGATGATCACATATGAATGGCTACCTCATCCTC